TTAGGCACTTTGTTTTTACAAAAACAATTATCAAAATCTTCACCACACTTGCATGCAGATATGTCAAACAAAGTTTTCTCACTGACTTCTCTAAACGCGAGCGTTTTTTCTTGCGACTTTCTCATGTTCTTTTTTATTGATTTATATTTTTGATTCAGATTTGCTATCAAGCTTAAAATTCTTTGATCTGAAATGATTGGAATTGATGCTTTTTGCCAGATCTGTTTTAATTCGTTTAAAATAAGTCGCGAAATGTTATTTACGCTAGGATCTTTTCCATTGGCACTTTCTTTTAAAATTCCTATTCCACAAATAACACTTCATTACGTCAGAGTTTGTAGGAAGGACATTTCCTAGCAAATCAGTAGGTAAACCAAAAACTTCACAAAATAATTCTTTACGTGTTTTAGGCATTTTATATTTGAAAAAAAGTATAAAATCAGTTTGGTCGTCAATGGTAACTGCGAAAAGGAATCTAGCAAAAATTAGAGATGTGCATACAAATGAAATTGAATTGTTTCAGATTTATATATTAGTTTTCATTGTTGCTAAGCATAATCAAGAATTTTAGGAGATGTTGTGTACTGTGTAGTATTTTTGAGCAGAATCGACCATTTTTATACGTTAATAGTCGAGACTTTACTTGTGTTAATAGTGAAAATCTAAAGGAGCCTAGAGGAACCTCAAGACGTATACAAAAGTGGTTTAAATTTTAGTGATTTATTAATTGACCTAAAAGACATCTTTTGACAACACAGGCATTTGAAATTTCGAAAAAAAAATTTTTCACTCCACCCTAATATACATATATCGTGTTTGTTGTATGTAATCATATTCTTTAAAATCATTCACTTCTACAAAACTGGTTATAATAATTAAATGCATAAATGCCTTTTTTGATGTTTTTAAAAACACACAACGTAAACAAGACATATGTAACATATGCACATATATGTGCACCAGTTTGGTAGGTATATATAACAAAAAACTTAACAAAATGTAACGTTTATATATGTTAGTTGTACTTTTACTTAAGCACTGATGTTGACGACACTGGGTTGCTGGCTCCTATTATTAAATAATTTTAATTTGGTTGGAGCTGGATCGTGCTGGCTTCACGCTTGATAGATTTTTTTCCAAGTTTTGAAGATCAAAAAAGAAAGCGTATTTGAAGCTATTTGTGTGTGTGAGTGAGTGGGTGCATTACATTGCGCTGCCAAGTTGAGAGGTTAATTACGATGGCTGGTTTTTATTATTTCGGCAAAATTTAAATTGTTAAGTTTATAAAACTGATATGAATATAAAAAACAACATGCATGCTTGTTGTTCAACCGTTTAACAGTTGCTACTGGTTGACAGATTTGATGGAACCCGTTAAAACCTTAACATTACGAACGAGTTATTATTACGTAAGTAATTTTGAATGATTTATCAAATTAATTCACAGAAGAATGTAACGAAATTCTTATTATTGATAGTCTCGTCTAAGGGAAACCATTTTAAAGATAAATATTCTAATAAATGAAAAACCAGCTATATGAAAATCAATAAAGTTCTACTTTGCCAACCAGCACATTCAAATCGGATGGAGGCATGGAGGTTTGTGATTTACGTTCCCTGGCTGACATCTTAAATAAAAATATGAAGCAATATTCAAAATTTGGTTTCAGTTTTAGAAAATACCCATCCCCTGTAACAAACACTACCGTTAATTAATAATTGCCTACACGAACAACAAATGAATGGAGGATTGTAATTCGTATCGACTGATCTCGCATTATTTTCCGTGTATCAGTGCGATGGATGCTTACCTATACATTCGTTAATTGTATATTTTGAAATTAAAATTTAATTTAAATATACAGTTTTTTACTCTTAAAAACAAAATGAATTAATTAATTTTATCTATAAATAAGTTTGGAAGCAGGTGTATATACTTGGAAATAAACTTCGGCATTCATTCATTTCAAAATCTTTTCATAGTTTCACATCAATTAAAACACAGATCGCCCAGCTAATGCGCAGTTTGTATTTTGATCAACTCGGATGCAACTTAACTACCTTCTTACTAAAACATTTAAAAGAGCAACTCTTTTTCAGATTATATGTGGACCACCCCATTACGCCAGCTTATTTATATCGTGCAATTATATATTGATACCTCTATATTCTGGTATTGTTTTGAATTATACAGGGGTATTTGTGCTAATAATAAAAATAATGATGTCAATTGATGAAGTGCGTGGCAAGCAACTGAGACGCATAATCGTTAAAACAACAAACACAAAGTCTATGTAGAAACACGTGAATCAACGTATCACACAATCTTCCTTGTGTGATGCATTCTCATGTGATTTGCTGGGATGTCACTGCATTCGAACTCCGCCACTGCATCAGCAACGCCAGACACTTTAACCATTAGACCATCGCGCTGAACAATTTAATGCTGTATTTCACTGTGGTATTTCCTATTTTGTTTCCAGATATGGCGTTTTGTTCAATTTCAACTTTTTAATGCAAAATTAGTTTGCGCTTGATCAAATAAAGTTTCCAGACGCGGATTTAACTCGTTTTCTTCACATTAATTTTGCCCAGATGAACCTGTTCGATGAGAAAAATGGTGATGATAATGGTGGTGAGGATGGTGACGATGACGATGATGATGTTGATGGTGATAATGATGATGACAATCATGATGAGGATGATGATGATCGCCTCAGTGAAAAATTTTAATTAACTGCCATTCATCATCAACATGCGTTCATCTGCATTTGTTTCTCCGTTCGCGTTTTTTTTTTATTTCTTCTCTGTTCCAACGGCAGACGTGGATGTTTATTTAATCATCTCCTCAATACAATTCATGCTATCGAGTCCCTTACTTCGAGAAGAATATTACGATGAAACTTTGATGCGCATTCAAATGCAGGATGACTTCATTTGATTCAAATGAATAACTGAATAACGAGAATGGTGATATTCATAAAAAATTCAATAAAATCAAAAGCACTGTATAAGCGATGATAATTTAAGAGCGAAAAAAAATTTACGAAGTGACTAAAATAATTTTAATGGTCACATGATGATGGTTTTTATCTGCCAACTTATATAAGAGATACGATATTTTATATGATATTCTATTTAAAACCATTCAAATGAAATTTGAAATTTTTTTGTGAACGGAATATAAATTGGATTAATACAATTTAAGACGAAGTAGACACGAACGAACGGATGAATGACTCGAATTTATTAACATCAGCGTCGTTTAAACGTTTCGCTAGATTAGAGTTGCAACTCATCATTGAATGTTAACTTTAAGATTTATGACTGCCTGTTTCTCCGGAGGCGTACCATGCTCATGCCTAATCCTTCGTTTTCTCCGGGCAAACAATTATATTTTTCCTGTTTTTAAAAAAGAAAAGAGTTTTAATTGAATTTGAAAAAAAATCCAGCAAAATGCAGAAATATTTAATCAAGTTTTCAATTTGTTTCAATCCAATGTAAATTTTTTTTAAGATGTTTGAAGCAAATAAAAATTATAAGAACTTAAAAAAGTTGGCACTTATTAAAAGAACAAAATTGGAATGCACTCGCTTACAACGTTTGGCTTCCACTGTTTGCTTCACCAGAGAGTGTTAAAGCAACATCAGTAACAATTATTTAACATGTAAAAATTACAATTATTCTTTAAATGTTTTTCAAATGTTGTTTAGAAACTTACATAATTCTCCTAATTGAGTCACTCACGCCATCCACTCAGCAACTCCACCGCCATCATCTCGTCCTCGTTATTTGTTTTTATTTCTGCATTCAAATGAATCTGACAACTTTTATATCTCTGAAATTATTCAAAATGCTCAACTGGAAAGTAAAAAATCATTCTATTTAACAGTAAACAAATTATAAAATGAATACTATGCATACACTATGCAACAACGTTATGCAACAGCATTGGTACTAATTTTATGACACTTGCAACATAATGTAATTATCACCAGGTACCTGTAAACAGGGCAGTATTTGGATCGTTAAGCATTGACTTCAGGAGTGTTGAAACTTTTTCTCTTGACAGAACAGACATATAAAATGGATAATAAAATTAAACAAAAATCACACCTTCAAGTTCGACTGTTAGAAAAAAAGAAACACTTTGCAAAGTCACTCACAAATTCAAAACTAAACAAACGCATTTAAACGCCGACGACATAAACAAACAACACAAAAAACTATCTTTGGCTCTTTTCTATTTATATTATATACTTTTGAACAACCTTGTACTATTAATAAGTTTTCTTTTACTAGTCAACTGCATGCTGATGATTCCTATATTTATACTTCTTTTCCTCCATCTAATCTCAATAGTGTTCGTCATAATCTATCTCTATGTCTTTCTTCAATTATCACTTGGTTTGACTCTATGTTTTATAATCTTAATTCTTCTAATTTTGAATTGATTTGTTTTAAAAAATCTAAACGTTCTATTACTATTCATTCTGTTATCTCATTTAATTCTAAAACTCTTGATGTTTCTCACAAGTTTCATAGTCTAGGCTTTATCTTTGATTCTAGCATTTCCCTTTCTTTTCTGATCAATAGTGCTGCTAGAAGTTCTTACTTTCATCTATGAAGAATAAAAAAACTTTTGCCTATTTTGACGATCCTACAAGGAAGCGGTGATAATCATGAGTTCCTGAATTTTAACATAACACCATTTGCATCGAGTTACTGGCCACACAAGAATTCCAAAAATGTTTAACACAAGAATTTTTAGTTAAATTTGATTCCTCTCAAGTTTTGAATTCGAGGCTTAATTTGAAAAAAATTATTCTGTGGGGCGTAACTAAATACAATAACCTAGCCAAACCGACCCATTGAAACCTACCCAAAAACCAAAAAAAAATGTAATTAACGAAACTTGCATGTACAATTGCAATCATTTACTTTATTTCTACTATCAAAATTGTTGGATACATAAATCATATTTGTATGTGTGCATGCATAATTTGCAAATGTACAGAGTCAGGTAAGTGAATGAAATAATGATGCATGGTCATCCCGAAATTGCTGCATGGTGGCAGATGACTGATTTGTTGAGTACTGTCTAAGTAATGCTTTCAATGAAATACTGAACTCAATGTCACGACGTATTTTATTCGGAAGGGTAACCTTAACGCGAAACAGAGGATCAGATTTAGAAAAATACGCTGATAATTCTTTAGCAAACTGATTTTCTTTTTTTATTCTTTTCTGCTTCTTGGCTTCAGTGATGTCTGACTTCATGTATTTTTCAACTTCATACGGATTAGTGAAGGGTCCACCTTTTTCTTTCAATTCTACAATCATATTTAATCTCTCCCTTTCTTTCCTGACTGCAATAACCTGTTTTTCAGCAACACCTGCCTGAAACTTCTCTTTCATAGATTGACTCCAAGTTAGTTTTAGATTCTTAACCAAGTTAGTTTTAGATTCTTAACCTGATAAGCTTCTTCACTGAAACTTCTAAATGACAACTTCGATTGTGCCCGAAGTTCTTCGGTCTACTGAATGATAATGCTTTTACTGACAGACTTAAGCCGCTGTAATTTGTGTAGACCTTAGTCTATAAACATAAACAAAATTCCATTGTTATGCTTGTAACTATGCTTGGGGCTGGTTGTTCAATGGGAATATTTCTCCTCAAAATCCGAAGTAATTTCGTTTTCTGCTTAAGGCGGTTTTTCATTCTGGCACTATATACTTGAAGCAATCTTTTTCATAAAATAATACTAACAGTAATACTGTTATTGTCCTGGTACCTACAGCTAAAAAATTGTGAATTCAATTAAAGAAACTCGTCAAACGATTTAATCAATCTTGAAATGTCGTATTAAACTATTTGAAATATAAAACAACAAATATGTCAACATATAAGAGAAAATTCAATTTATTTTAATTTTTCACGTAAGATATGATGAGAAGCACAGGCATGAAAAAATCAGTGGAAGTTTGTATCAGATGAGTAAGTCACTCCAGGTAAGATTAATTATTTTTATGATCAATATTGAACTTCTGTCATTAGCAGTGTACACATTTTCGAATTCGATTCGCACGTAACGAATTGAATTTTCATTAAACCACACATTAAACTTACAAATTGTTCTGCTTCATAAGAGTTGATCAAAATATAAAAAAATTTGAAGCGATTCAATGCATCTGAACTGATCAGCCTTAATAAATCTGGACTTAAACTCAAACACAAACACACTTCCAACGGAAGTTCAGCAAGCAATATTTTAAATGTGTTTTTGTGTTTTGTATTATCAAAAAAGTTTGTTTTATGTACCTTAGACTTGCGGTTGTGTGATTGAAATTGTGGTTTTTGTTGATTTTGAATTGAACGTAGAAGCACACTTCTACGAGCAGAAGCTCGTAGAAGTGTGCTTTACATTATAATTTCATTACTAACAAAAGTGCAAATTATTTGTATAAATTTATAAATAAATATTTTCAGTTGTTTGATCTAACCAAGTTCTAAAAAAATAAATTTTCCAATCTTCAGTCATAAATCAGTTGTCCGTTTTTTTCGGCCAACCTATCCATCATGCGAGTAACAAACAACAACAACAACGTCATTCAGCACATGTTCCATCCATCACATACAAAATCTTATTTCCGGCTTTTGTTTAAAAATTTGAAAAAAAATCATTTATTGACATTCTTAACATTATTATATTTGTTCATATTTTGTCTCTTGCATAGGCGTTAGTTAGCAGCCTTAATTGGATAGATGGTTGTTCTAATTCATATCTGAGAAAGGGGCATTTATTATTAGCAATCATTAAAATCATTGGTAATAGCAGCTTAAAATGTTATCAGAAATATTTATAAGAACAAAAATTATAAAAAATTTTGTTAAAGTTAAAATTTATCATAAGACACTAACTGAAATGATCGTTTAATAACTTGAACGAAGAAGTACCAAACCACTCTTACTATGTTTGTTTTGATGTCGTCGTCGATGTTGTTGTAATGAAGTTCAAAATGAGAGGAACACAAACACATCATCCCATCATTTCAAAAAATGATCGTTAAGCATTGACTTCGGGAGTGTTAAAACTTTTACTCTTGACAGAATAAACACCCGATGGATAATAAAATTAAACAGGAATCACACAAGCGTTGAAGCAATAAAATTATTAATCAAAAATTTTCAAAGTGAAAAATTTTTTTTTCTAATGCAAAAGCTGAAATTACTTATAAATCAAGAGCAAAGAGTGAATAGCAGTAACGACGGACAGTGGCAAATGCAACGGATCTCCCTTCTAAACAAAGTAAGAAAAATGTTAAAAATTTGGTGTTAAATACTCTAATAAGGTAAACGTAAAATAGCAAAAAATACTGAAATTTGGAATAAAGAGGAATTAGCAAAGAAGGTCATCAACTTTAGAATTTTCAAATCACCCCCACCGGCAACATTCTGGATCCATCACTTGTGATTTCGTCTCATTTTCAAACTACTCGCCAATGTGGCTTCAATCCTAAGAAAGTGCCAGTACTCAAAAATAGTGGCGCTTATTCTCCGGTTGATTGCAAATGAAATGGAAGACAGGAATGAAAATTAGACGTTCACTCCAATTCAGTAAGCAGTTTAATAAATGGGACGCAGTGCAGAAGTGTTAAATGAGCTGATGGTGCACACACACATAATACCCTTCTTCAAGTAGACCACCACTAATTCACACACACACACACACACACACACACACACACACACACTAATACGGACATATCTGGGTTGATGGGTTGTATGTCTTCGTTAACAGTGTTTCTCAGGTCCTCAATGGCCAAGCTAATTAAATGCGAACCATGATTGATAGGTGTTTAGATTAATTTTCAACGTACTGACACTAGTTTGTCATTGTCCTTTTACGAGGAAACGTTTTTTAAATTTAAAAAACTTCAAATATCTGAACTATGATATTTTGCGAATAATTTCAATTGTTTTTTATTTAGATAATTTTTTCAAAGTTTATCCTCATATTTTTTAATTACATGTAAACAGTGACTCTATCATTAAATATTGCTGTAAACATTTAATTATGCTGCTCGATCTGAAAAGCATTCCCTCTCAGCCGAGCCACACATCAATCTTTCAGCGTTGAATCATGTTAGACATCCTAGCCTACTCATCTTTCTCCCTCTGCATATCTTCTGCTAACGCATGGAATTTTTAATATTGGCAAGAAATGTTGTTAGCTTCAATCAAACTTCCTCCACGAATCTTTTCGCAAAAAATAAAAAAAAACAATTTATAGTTCCACATAAATCCAAGAAAAAATGAAACTACTTTTGTTTTATTTTTAGTTTAGCCGAAAAATTCTAATAAATATTTTTAAGATGATTTTATTTTTCATCAACGAGATGGTGCTCCCAGGGCATAAATCAGGCTGAGTGAAACACTGAGACCAGAATCCTGCTCTACTATGATTTGCCGGGCAGATCACATTATAGATAAAATTTATGTTCGCACATTTCATTGATCTTTGATGGGAAAAAAAAAATATTTTTTTGCTTTCTGCTGATTATGTACGAGTATACAAGCAGCGACATCATTATATCTATAGATGTTTAACAAACCATTTATTTATTCAATTGTGATGTTTTCAAATTTATAAAACTAAAAATTTTCTTAATAAATTCATTTTATAATATTTTATTTGCCCAAAATTATTTGTGAAAAGTTCAAATAAGATCAAGTCAAGCTTCGATAAATGAACAACCGCCATACATTTTTTTAGAGCAATGCGCAAACACACAAAAATTAAAAATTACCCACACAATCAACTATGCACACATACACACATATACAGACAACCACACACACCCACACTACCAAACGTACACACACATGTGAAGATGCAGACACACATTTACTCATGTACAAACACAAGCACATTCACACACTCATGTACAGACACACACAACACATACATAGATACACAAACCTATGCGTACACACATGCACAACTACAGAAATTCAGCACGGAACAAGAGGCAAACGTCCAGAATGCTCATTTTGATTGACGCAAAGCCCTGGGTTTTTTTTGCCTGGTTTAGAAATGGACAATGAAAGACAAACTTCGTCATAAGTTTTTCAATTGAACATGACAACTTTACAAAATACAAAAGTTTCTGATTTCTGCTCAAAAATAAGTCATTTTTTGAGTTATGTAGTTTATTGATATTTTTCGAAAATTCACGAGTGTTACGAATAAAATGAATTATATGAAATCTTTTCAAGTATGTATTGAACTCGCAAAACAAAATTAACAAATCTAAACATTTAAACCATTTCTGTTTACGTCAAAGACAACAACAACAACAACAAAACAACACCGCTAACAACACAACATCAACAACAACAACAGCAATATCAACAACAACAACAATAACAACATTACCAACAATAACAACAACAATAACAACAAAACTTACAAAAAATCTTCTGTAACACACTCGTTCAAAAAAAGACACCAGCTTTTATTTCGGTGAAAAAAAGTAGATGACACGAGCCCGAACGCTGAGCAAATACTCAAATTGTATCGCTGAGGTTAAATCGCATCCACCTCTCTTTCTTATGCCTCGTCTCTTCTGCATGTTTTTATATTCTATAAATATGCCTACGCTAATATGTGTGGTTGTTACGCTGTGTATCCGCGTGTGTCTGCTGCTGATATCACTGCTGTTGCTGCAGCTGCGGTGTATAAATTTATTTCAAGTGTCGTAGACTAATCAAATTGAAAATTTTTATGAATAAATGCAAAAATATTTTGCAAAAAGTAAAGAAAATGTTCATCATTGATAGTTCATTAGCAGTATTGACATGAAGAAATGAATGCACACGAAGCAGGAAAGGTTGCGTCGCCTGAACAATTAGCGCCGTCAACTAAACCATTCGCTAGTCTGGGGCTGGTTGTTTGGAAAAGTTTTCTTTACCTGGTTCATCTCATCATTCACTTAACCATGTCATTTAGGCGCATAACCGAGGAATAAATTGAGAAGGACTGGGTTGGTTAAGATCAAATATTGCTATTTTTAAGTCAATGTGTTTTCTGCGTTATTAATATAAACTCAATGATTTATATTTTAAGTTTGCGCGTCATTAGCAAGTTCGGTTCGGAATGAAGCGGCGGATTGTTTGGAGGAGTAGACGGCACCGTAGACTGAGCCTAATTTAAATCTGGGAAATAACAAACTCTTTGACATTGTAATTTTGTTCAAGTTACTGAAAATGGTGACCTATAACAAGAATTTTTTATTTTTGTTTTATTTGATGAAATAAATTAAAGTTCCTCGGAGCAGTTTGGCTGATAGGTCAATGATTATTTCAGGATAAACGCAAAAAAAGCATAGTGAAGAGTATTATGAAAGCGACCATG